TCTTCGACGCCAGCGGGTACAGCCCGTCGTCACTGCGGTGGAAGGCGCGCCCCTCCTCCATGCCGCACGGATGGAGATTGGGGGTGGGGGCAGCGCCGGAGGCGCCGCTCAGTGGTGCGCGGGGAGGGTGCTGAGCGTCGACCCGAGAACTCCGCGCGGACCTCCGAAACTGGATTGATATTGGTGCCGTTTTCTGTTCATCGAGAAGCGCGAACAGCCCGCGGTCGACTTCCAGCGGCAGCCTCCCCGCACCCTTATTTTTGCCGCCAGGGCATGGGTCTGCCGTGCCCCACTTTTCAAGGAGGGCCCACGAACATAACGGGCTGGGCGCTCGTGGGTGTAAGGCAATTGGGTAGAAAGGGGGACACGTCGGTGTAGCAGGGAGCCCCGTGAAACGCCAGCCCGCCGCCCAACTGGCTCCTTGACATGAATGCGGTGCCCTCCTCCATCCTCCTCCAGCCCCTCAGCCGCCGCTCCCAGCCCCCTCTTCTCCGAGCGCCGCGGCGCCGACCACCCGGCCCTCCCAGGGCCCAACCTGCGTCACCTTAAGTCGGGCATGTCCCTCTACAGGAAGAGAATCCAAGAATAGCCTAACAATAGTAAAATGACGATTTTTCGTGCTCTTTTGACTATTGTGTTTTTTTGTTACTGATTTTCCCCACGTCCAAAGTGTGGTGTTTTCTCTGGACACCCCGCGCAGGAACACACAGGAACACCCTCACTTCACTCATCATCATCACAGTCATCATCGTCATTACTCGCACACTCACTCACACTCACATCCACTCACACACAGACCATCTTGATCACCTTGACCATCACTCGATCACACACTCACTCACCCACTTACTCATCATCTGCATCATCCTCCTCATCATCATCATCATCATCATCATCATCATCATCATCATCATCATCATTATCAGCATCATCATCATCATCATCACTCATTCAGTCATTCACTCACTCACTCACCCACTCATTCGCTAGCTTGAATTTGGGGGACGTACAGGAGGGAGGCTCATCTGTGAGTGAATTGCGAGGAAGTCTCAGGCGGGAGCCCTCTCCCTATAGGGCCCGCACTTCATGTTTTTAATCCGAGCGGGTCGTCCTCGACCGTGTAACTGTCGTCACTCTTGGGCTCCTGAGGTTTGAATATGGGGGAAGTATCAGGCGGGAGGCTCGCCTGTGAGTGAATTGCGAGGAAGTCTCAGGCGGGAGCCCTCTCCCTATGGGGCCCGCATTTCATGTTTTCCCCGCATCCAAAGTGGGATTATTGTTTTCTCTGGACACCCCGCGCAGGAACACACAGGAGCACACCATCACTCACTCACTCACTCACTCACTCACTCATTCATTCACTCCCGCTCACCCCTTCACTCATCATCATCATAATCCTCATCGTCATCACTCACACACTTACTCACACTCACATTCACTCCACACAGACCATCTTGATCACCTTGACCATTACTCGATCACACACTCACCCACCGACTCACTCATCATCTGAATCATCCTCATCATCATTATCATCACCATCATCACTCATGCAGTAATTCACTCACTCACCCACTCATTCGCTAGCTTGAATATGGGGGAAGTATCTGGCGGGAACCTCGTCTGAGAGTGGCTTGCGAGGAAGTCTCAGGCGGGAGCCCTCTCCCTATGGGGCCCGTACTTCATGTTTTTAATCCGAGCGGGTCCTCCTCGAACCTATAAATGTCGTCATGTTTGGGTTCCCGAGGCCTGAGTATGGGGGAAGTATCAGGCGGGAGGCTCGTGTGTGAGCGAATTGCAAGGAAGTCTCAGGCGGGAGCCCTCTCCCTATGGGGCCCGCACTTCATGTCTTTATTCCGAGCGGGTCATCCGAACTTGTAGCCGTCGTCACTGTTGTGCTCCTGAGGCCTGAATATGGCGGAAGTATCAGGGGGCTCGTCTGTGAGCGAATTGCGAGGAAGTCTGAGGCGGGAGCTTTCTCCCTATGGGGCCCGCATTTCATGTTTTTGAGGGTCGTTCTCCAGTTTGTAACTGTCGTCACTTTTGGGCTCCTGAGGCCTGACGAGGGGGGAAACATCAGGCGGGAGGCTCGTCTGTGAGTGAATTGCGAGGAAGTCTCAGGCGGGAGCCCCCTCCCTATGGGGCCCGCGCTTAATGTTTTTAATCAGATCGGGCTTGAGTATAGGGGGGGAGTATCAGGCGGGAGGCTCGTGTGTGAGTGAATTGCGAGGAAGTCTCAGGCGGGAGCCCTCTCCCTACGGGCCCCGCATTTCATGTTTTTAATGTATTCCGCGTCGCACCCCCCCCCCCGCGTCCCCAGCGCCAGAGTGGGACCCCCGCGCCGTGGCTCTCTGCCCCGAGCCCCCCCCCGCGTCCCCAGCGCCCCAGCGGGAGCCCCGCCCACTGCACCCTCCGCCACGAACGTTTTATTCCGCGTCGCACACCCCCCCCTCCGCGTCCCCAGCGCCAAAGTGGGACCCCCGCGCCGTGGCTCTCTGCC